CCGCGGCCCGGCCCGCGGCGGCGCCGGCGTGCGCGGAAGGCGCCGTTCAGGAGCGGGGAAGGCCGCGGAGCGCCCCCGGGCCTCGCTGGCGAGAGCGCGCGGGGAGCCTGCGGCGGCTGTGCCCGCTGAGGAGGTTCGGGCCCTGCTTTAATGGCGTTCCTGGAGCGCCGCGGACGCGCAGGCCGCGTCCGGGGCAATGACGGCAAGAGCGGGAGCTGCTCCTGTGCCTGCTCCGGGAGGGTCTGAGCTCGCCTGCAACGTGCGCGGAGCAAACAAGGGGCTGAGGGGTGGGGGTCTCTCCGTGCCCCAGAGATGCGGCCAAACCTATGCCCGTACCTGTGCTAGGTGGGGCCTCCCACGTCATTTTGTTTATTTTTTTTCCCGTGGATGAGTTGCTTTGTGGAACACCACAAGCACAACCCAAAGGAGCTGTTTTCTGCAACGTTTCCGACAAGTTTGTTGTCGTTGACATAGTGATGTGAGTGCGTGTTTTGCTCTTATTTGGGAACTGCCCTAATTAACACCCACTTTTCAGACTTCCCTTCTTAGGGAATAACTTCKTAGGACTTTTTCAGCATAGTTGACTTACAGCTATTGTCATTGTGAATGTTAAGAACTTAAGTGATTTAATTCCATTTTCCTTTGGAAGGTACCACCAGAGGAGGAGGATGGGGTGCAGGTAACCAGAGATACACGAACGTTATCCAACCCTCCACGTTTAAGTCCAATACGTGGGGTGGCAGCAAAGATCTTGGAAGAGGATTTTTTGGATCATCTGATTTCGGATCAGTGGGCGGTGGCGGTAGAAATGCAGACTTTTCACAGAACAGATTCTCTGCGTTAATGACCGGCCAAAATATCGATGATGGCTATAAGGACGAAGAGGAGAAACTTCTGTAAGTTACAATCTTGTCACAGAAACTGGCTAATCAAGAGTGTTTCGAATGAGCATTTTAAAAGCTTGCTGGCTTGCTACAGATAGTGTGAAGGAGGTGATTGTGAGGACCAACATGTAGGGAAGCTTTAATATGAAGGGAAAAAAGCATATAAAAACACCTGCCTTAGTTAGGTCTCTGAGTTAGGAGGGTATGGGAAGGAAGAGGAACTTGTTTGGAACCAGAAAAGCTGGGCTGGGGAGATAGACAGCTGTGATAGTAGTAAGGCATTGTGGTGTTAAAGCTGCAGGAGAGCAGGAGCAGAAATTCACAGTTCAGTGTTTGAAATTACAGGGAAATTAAATCAGCATTTCAACCATTTTAAGGAAGTTCTTGGGAAAAATAAACTATTTGGTTCAGTTTTCCTGACTCTGCAAGTAACAAATTATTTTGTCAATAGCAGCAGTATTGGAACCTGCTTTCATGCCTGTGTGTGTCAGAGTTAGCTTGAGGTGCCCAGCAAACTTGGGGCTCTTTGCAGGGGAGGGGATGAGAAGCTAACAAGCAGTGTGATTTCCTAAAAAAAAACAGGTGCATGGAAGCCAAGGAGATGGGCAGCCTTAGCCCCTTCCTTTTGTTTTTTGTTTATATATATATAATGTATATGTATACATATATTTTTTAAATGTACATTGATAAAGTTCTTAACTGAATAGTTATTCAGCTTTTCAAGTGTAAACGTGTATCATGTTAACAAACATCTATTTTTAGTAGATGTTTGAAATAGTATTATCAAATAATATAATTTAAAATATTTGAATAAAACCAATAGTATAAAATATTTATCTTTCTCCATTATACTTTTTTTTCTTTTTAACTGTTTAAATTTAATTTTACTTCTATTGATGTAGCTTCTATGTTCTTGCTTCTGCTGTGTCAGGATTTTTTTATGCCCTTGCTTCTTTCCAGACCCTTAGGTGGAATACTTTTCTTCTTTTTCTTTTCTATACACATTCATGTGGGCAAAATCTCCTACCGAGAAAGTTTCAAAATTGTGTTGTGATCTGCAGCTTAAGGGAAAATCAATGGCAGCATATGTCATGCAGGCATTTAAAAATACTCTTTGCTGATATTGTTTTAAGATCTGATTTAATTGACTTTGTAGTCAGATGATAAAATATTTTGAAGTGACACTTATGTATCTTGAAGACTAAATGATTTTTTCACAGATAAACAAGTATTTACATTGTTCATCCTGAATACTGTTGCACTTCAGTATTTTTCATGGTTTCAGATATTTAAATCTGATCTTGGATTTGAACTAAGCAATTGCTTTTTGCATTTCCTTTTGATCATGTAACTCCTGCCACTTTTTTTTTCCTGGTTTCTAGTGAAGGCATAGTGAGAGACATGGAAATTTGGGAATCTTCAGGACAGTGGATGTTTTCATGTTACTCACCTATGAAAGAAAAGCCTAATATCTCAGGTAAAAATGCTTATAATGCCTAGTAAGGCTATGTGGAACTGTTTGCAAGCTGACCTATTGCCTTATGATGTGACAGGAAGGAATAYTGAAGTACGAGAACTTCATTATGGGGGCTCGCATGTTTGAAGTTCTGAGTTGTTCTTGTGTCTCCACAAGGTATTTACCTGCCTTACTACAAACAATGTATTAAGGCTCATTTCTTTGCAACCTTGTAGAGGGCCGTTGGAAGTACTTTCCTTTGAGATTTTTTTGATTATACATAAGTCTCTTTGTGGCCAAGAAGGCCAACGGGATCCTGGGGTGCATTAAGAA